GAATAAATGTTCCCTCATGAGCTGCTGATTTCAGAGACATTTTCCCCCACATTATTTGATAGCCTTATATAATGAATATAATGAAGTGATATAAAAAATTATTATTTGTCCCATTAAGTGTTCCTTATTGCAAAAAAAACAACAAAAAAAAACCTGATGTTTTATTCATTACTGAACACCTCAACCATTTCTAATGATTTTATGTTCTCTGTCGCCATTTATCGAATAAAAAAAAAAAATATTCAGCTACATTTTTTATGTGCCTTTGTAATATTATATGTTTTTTTCTTCGACTACAGGCAAAGCATGATGAATCACTGGGTGAGAGAGAGGGCAGCAGACTGGCCAGGTCAATGTGCAGCACATCGGACTTTACAAGAGCATGACGCTCCTGTGTCCTGTAGATATAACAGGACACGGCACTGTACTGAAAGGCAACTTATTCTCTGTTAAATATATATATATATATATATATATATCTGTCCTCATTTGTAAGTCGCTTTGGATAAAAGCGTCTACTAAATGACTAAATGTAAATGTACCATTTTACTATTTATCTGTCCCATTACTATAATAATCAGCTTCTGTGACTGATATTTAGAGTTTACACCCAACTACACACAAACACGCTCACCCAGAAAGTCATTTCTTCACCGTTTGTGTGTGCGGGTGTGTGCAATGCGCACGATTAACTGTTTAAACACACATTTTTGGCCCTCTGCCTCGAGAGAGGATGTACAATAGCACCGATTCACATCATCGGCTGTGTATTTTTGTAGGTCAGTTTGACGCTTCAAATTTTGAGACATGCATGCGCACAAAAAGGCACAAAAACCCACCGCTCTAATCTTTGTTGTTGAAAACCATGTCCGCAGTAATAGACTGTCTGTAAGAACTCAAAAACAAGAAAATGATTCCGTGTTCTTCCGCTAACTTCCTCCCTCAGGCGCACAGGCAGCTCCACCAGATAACCCGCTGCAGAGATGTACCATTGAGGCAAGTTACTGTAGCAATTATAGAGACGTACTGCTGTAACCAGCTCAAAACAAATTGAGCTATAGTGCTATGATTCTGCTGTAACTGCTATACGACTCCTAACATCAAAACTCTGCCTCCGTGACGAGGGTTAAATTGAGCTATGGACTAAATTTTACTGTTAATGGTGGTTTTTCCGTTGAGAATCATCTGCCGTCCTGGACTATAAGTTCCATCCAGGAAATCGTCCCTGAGAGTCTAATGCCATCCTAAAATAGGCTTTAAATGAGTACGGGAGGAGAGGCGCAGAGTGTTTTAATAGGTTTCAACCGAATGAGGGCTTACAAAGGGAGAGAGAATAACGTCTGACCTCTTTTCACCTGTACGCGCCGTTTTATTGATGTACTATAGTAGCAGAAAGGACCGAATTCGCAAGGGGCAAATAAGAATCTGTTTAATCGTAGACAGAGATGTTAAAACATAAATATATAGATGAAAATGACCTTTTCACTGCCAGCTTAGTGTTGTGTCTGTATAAATGTCATACTCTATCTTTCTCTCTATCTCTGTTATTGTGTGTGTAGAGCAGTAATAGAGGTCAAATGTGTGTAGTGGGTAGTGCACATCCTCACGACACATATGAGCAGTTGTGCTCACGGGAACACAGGTCTGGCCTTGTGTCAGAATTCAATCTCATTCCCCCTCACTGTCCCTCTCGACTATCCTAAAGGACAAAAGCTTTTAAATAATACAAAAAAATGGCTGTGTTAACATGAACCACTTCATCACCACATTTAACATTAAAATATACAGTATTTAAATCTGCAATGTGTAATTTCTGTGGCACTAAACGCAACTTTTCTGAAGAAAATGTGCATGGTGCCAGTCTGGGCAAAATTCGTTGCCTATTTGTAAAATGTTTGTAATTTTTTACAGAAAAATACTGTAAAGATATTGTAAAAAATGTTAACTGGTTAAATGTAGGTTACCTTACCATATACAGTGAAAATTTGTAAATGGTTTTAGCATCATATTATATGCAATTTTACTGCAAAATACAGTAAATACAAGTACAGTACAGCAAAAACTAGAAATTAACATATCTATTATGAAAAAAATTAAAAAGACATTTCTGAAGTCCCTGCGTTGATTATATTTTATTTAAATAATTTAGTTTCTTATCATTTTTGTTATCAGTAATGTACATTAGGGTGTTTTGTGTTACGTTTTGTTATTTAGTGAATGTTTATTGCATTACTGTAGAATTTTTGTTATCCTGTGGTGTTTTGTCTTTGTTTGTATGAACTGTTGCATCGCTTATGTAGAAGTATTGCCCATGTTTTATGAACAGGCCACTTACAATGAACCTGATTCATCATGTACCATGCGTACCATTATGGATTATAGTTATGGTGTATTATTATTATGATTTGTGGTAAAGAGCTGATTTTGGCACATTAACATAACTTCATGAAAAATACAGTTATACAGTAAATTGTAAAATATACAGGGGCTAATTTGCCATCCTGTAATACATGAAAAAAAAAATGTCACTGTATACTTTATGGTGAATTTCTGGCAACCACAGCTGCCTTTTTTTCTGTAAATTTAAAAGGATATGTTTTCAAGTAGAGCTCATACAATGAGCTATGAATTCAAATTTAATACTTAGTGTTTGTTGATTCTTTTTTAAAATCTCTAATTAAAACTAATGAAAGAATAAATCAAATAAATCAAAGTGGCAAAGCAAAAGAAACAAACACTCAACAAACACTCTCATTCTAAGCCATATGATTATATTTTATCCACGGAACACAAAAGGATACAAATGAGGGATTGAGGACTCCAAAAACGTCCAAAGTAGTCCATATGACTCATGCACTATATTTTGAATCTTCTAAAATCATATGTTAGCTTTTTATGAGGAACAGACTGAAAAGTTATTCACTGAAAAACTTGTGCATTAATGACACACGCAGGAAAGTCATTGTTAACAAAAGCATGGCACAGTGAATGCAACTGAAACCAAATGAGAAGCAGAAAGAATAATACCTCACACACTTCAAAAAACAACCGACTCCTCTAAGCGAGACTATCAGAGCAAGTGCTCTCACACACAGACACACACTGAAGAGACGTCACACGGTACTACCTGTCACGCTCAGATAGGTCGTCCTCCGCACCAGGAAGCCTCCAAAAACCAGCTCACAGGTGTAGTTGCCGATGTCATCCTCCCTCACTTCCTGTATGGAGAGCATGTCTGCGGTCTGCAACACACTGCTCCTCCACTGCTGCACGTTACACTCCTGCACACCCGCAGGCAAAGAGAAAGAGAGATAAACTATATGTGACCCTGGACCACAAAACCAGTCATAAGGGTCAATTTTTATAATAAATGACGTTTTGATATATTTACGGTAGGAAATTGACAAAATATCTTTATGGAACATGATCTTTACTTAATACACTAATGCTTTTTGGCATAAAAGAAAAATCAATCATTTTGACCCATACAATGTATTTTGGGCTATTGCTACAAATATACCCCAGCGACTTAAGACTGGTTTTGTGGTCCAGGGTCACATATAGAAACAAAGAGATGAAACTGCACCATATACATTTGTATATACTTCATAATGATAATACTCAATAAGAATAGATTGCGCTTGGTGACAGCATGCAAATCGAGCAACGGCACAAATGTGGCCCAAAAAAATCAGTGCTAAACACAGTTTGCAGGCTGGAGTTCCTGATCTCGCAGGTTACTGCTGCAACACTGCGATCTAGACACCTGAATGGACTCTTTAAAATGCAGAAAGTGCTCTCAACTGTATTTTAGAACACTTTTTAATCATAATTTGATAAATTACTGCTGCCATGATCAATTGAAAATGTACATAAACAGTCTATTTTAAATAATTTTCTGTTTACGGTTGCATGTGCAGTAAAAGCACAATGTTAATTGCCCTAGGCAAATAGCACTGACTTACTGGCATAAAGTATAATAACCCTAATTTACATAAAAAGAATGTGTGTTTGCTCTGAAAAGAACGACAATGACTTCATTTAAATTCTCAGGGGGCAGGTGCCGTGATGCTGGATCGCAGGTGGTTTGTGAATAAGACGCTGGTTTGTGTGCTGAACGGTGCAACTGTTTAGTGAAATCACCACACAGTATCTCCCACTGTACCTTGTACCACATTATCTGTGGTTTTTCTCCAGGCTGAATGTAATCCTGGATATCAGGACAGGAGATGTCTTTACTCTTGCCCAGTTCTCCTTTCTCAGTGTAGCGCAGTTTTGAGTTATAACATCCTGCTGTGTCATTATCAGCAACCAACAGAGTCATAGACACCTTCATACAAAACGTGGAATTCCTGTAACACACACACACACACACACACACACACACAAACGCAGAGTATATAAACTGTGCTATCCGTAATCAGATTAACACATACTCACGAGAGACATCACTGATCGTGAATTTGTTATCATCTCACAGAGCCTATACACTAAACAAATTATACGAGAATAAAACATGATTTTATTTGTAATTCAACCATGATAGATGTAATCTGACCATGATGGAACAAAATTTGTCTGCAATTTTCATGTAGGGCTCCAAATAATTAGTGTTTTACTGATGGAATATAAGTAGCAAATGAATAGAATGAAATGTTTTCTAAAATGTTTTAAAGGGTCCTTTGATTTTTTTATCACTTTCTATTTTTCCCTGAGGTCCACTTATAATGTAAGTTAATGTTTTTCAGCAGAAAAACATGTCAAATTTAGTATCCTACACTCTCTATGACCCTTAATTAAATTGGATGTTTTTTTGCTGCTGTGCCTTTAAGACTATGAAAGATGTGAAAGTACAGAATGAAATGTTATTGCAGTTCTAAGTTCTGAAAACGGTATTTTTTCATATTATTATGAGCATTTATTTATTTATTTAATTAAAAAACTTGATTTCTCATTATATGACCCTGCTTTTTTTTTTTTTGCATTAAAGTCAGTCAAACAAAATTACACAGCCGCAAACACATATTCACACAGTTCTATACACACACTCTATAACTCAGAAGCATTGCAAGTCAACACACACTTCTCTGCATTGATGAGTGTGTCTCCATTTAAACGGCATTAGTGTTTGTTTTGTCCATGGGCTTTGAGTTTAATAGCTGCTGATAAGATTTGTTGAAATTTGACCTTTTCAGTGTAATGACCTCACACCTCCTACCGGGTTACCGTGGTTACAGAGTGCTTGGGGTGGCAACCTGCAATGCACTTGTCTCTTGTAAAATGCATAAACAAATTCAGCAAAAAATAATAAATAAATAAACTATACGCTGTCTTTCTCTCTGCCCTATTAACTGTATAGCAAAGACTATTTTTACACTCTCACTGTTTTCAGACACCCGCATATGTCAGCACAGTCTTTTTTTTATCACCCTATAAACCTAAAAAGAAAACTAAAATATCTGCTCTCTTCTGCCGGTGTGTTGCTGAAAACTATTGTTTATGGTTTAATCAGGTCAAAGCCAGTCTCAGAGGAAACAGAACAACAACAACTCCAATTTCCTGTTGCTAACTGGGTTCTTAATAAACAAAGCTCTTTAGTTCTGTTTTAAATCTAGTGAGCTGCCTACATAGACAGCTTCCTTCTTAGGCAGCATCCTAACTGAACTGGAATCTCATAAGTGACTGATTTTACAACTAGCGGTCATTAATTGATTCCAGGGGATCTGTGTTTGGCCAGTTATTTTAGGCTTTAATCCACTGCTGGTAAATGCTGTAATCTCAACAATATATTGACAAAAATGGTTGTTTACTCAATTGCCAAAATGAGTCAAGCATACTGACTAAATCCTATTGCTTTTGCAAGTAACATATAACTCATCAGAACTTCATTATATTACACTGAAGTGAAAAAGTCGAAATTACGAGCTAAATCAGGTCAACATTATTAGCATAAGCTAAGAATGCAATACTCTTAAGGGCTGTTCATACCAAGAACCGATTCACACCGATAACTATAATGGTAAATGTAAGCCCCTTTCACACATACAGTCTTTCCTGGCAAATAACCGGTAAATTACATTAAGGAGATCATGTGTGAACAGGACCTTTTCAAAAATACTGGTAAATTCCTTCTGGCAATTTACCGGTATGAGAAGTTGTAACATTACCAGTAAATGAACAGTAATGTGTTCTGCGTGAACGCAGAACGAGATTACCGGTATGAGCATGTGTGAGCTCAGAACGTGCTGACGTAAGACGTCCACTCTGGGCAAATCATAACATTCTGACGCTTTTACTCTGCGATGTTTACGGAAATCAAAGAAATGTCTAAAGTCGTCTAATATGATGTCTCTGGGCCAAAAGCAGCTGCATGAATGTGAATGTTTGACACAAAAATAAAAAAACACTGACCATGTATACCCCTCCATGTTTACAAACACAACACCGGGAGGCGCAGCGGTTTAGAGGTAATTTCCAGTTAATGATATTACAAAATTTACTGATATATTGAAATTTATTGTGTGAATGGTGCTTTACCGATAAAAAGATGGAACGCCGTTGCCTGTGTGAACAGCGCATTTTTGTCGTTCCGGTAATTTTACGGCAATTTACTGGTATTACTGTGTGAAAGGGGCTATAAAGTTTTAATAATTGTTCTAATGTTCTAATTGTTTGATTTATTTATTTATTTTTTTGCTGATGAATGATTAAAACATTGGAAAACAGAATCCATTCAACTGGACAGACAACGTAACTGCAGTGCATGCTTATAAACAGAACTTGATTGTCTGTTGGTGGAGGTATTAATATACTGTATATAATAATATAGTTATTGTTATTGGTGTGAATGGGCCTTTATAAAGAGCATAAAAATACGAATACATTTTTTTTTACCAATTCTGTTAAGTATTGCATGAAATTTATTTATTTAAAGGGAATATTCTTCACAATATTCTTCCAATATTCTTCACAATTTCTTTTGTGTTCCACAGAGGAAAAAGTCACACAAGTTTAGAAGAACTATCCCTTTAAAATGTCTCACAACTTGTTTGCCATCTTGGATGATTATTTTCACAGATGCATTCTGGTGGGAATGTTTTCTTTGCAATTGATACATTTGATGCTGCCTTAGAAATAAGGTGCCTTTTAAAACCACTTTCACATTGGAAGCATGTGTATAATTCCTTAAAATATTCTCCAAAAGGTCTCTGTGTTTTTGTGTACAGTACAACACATGAAAAAATAATTACAGTACTCTGAAATATTTTATTTTTCCTACAAGAATGTTAGACATTACGGCAGCACAGTATTTAAAATTCACTCTTTTCCTGTTTCTGTCTGTCTGTTTTCAGTACACACAGACACACACACACACACACTCACACACACACACACACACACACACACACACACACACACACACACACACACACACACTGTGACATTCTGTGATGCAAAAGTGAATATGATGAGTAGATTATGTGCTTTGACCTCAAGTCAGTCGGAACCTGAGCAAATGAAGACCCTGGAGAGTTGCCTGACTGTTTAATATGTGTGAAAGTGGCCTGTGGCATTATGGGAGAGTGCCGGAGTGTCAGTGTTTGATTGATGGATGACAGAACGTCTTACTGTCCTCTGCCGTTGCTCACTTATTTCACTTCCAGTTTTACTGTCTCTGAGAAGCTTTGGATACAGACACACAACTCTCTCACACACACAACACATGCAGACACTAATACACACACACTAATTTTCTCAGCATGGCGCTTTTCTTGAAGACTTTGAAAGACAATCAAAAAACATCAAAGGAAGAAGTTAAGCATGTTCCCCAATCCGGCTAATGTCCGAAAGGCAGAGTGTGTGTGTGTCTCCTTGTGGATTAGCATATCTAAGCGTATGAGTGTTCACACATACACATGTGCAGGTGTCCCCCTCTCTCACCTCAGAACGCAGGAGTACAGACCGGCGTCCTGCAGCTCGGCAGGCCGAAACCAGATGGCGTCTTCCTCTTTGCTCATGCGTACCCCATCAAAGGAGATGGGTTCCTCAAAGTCACCATGTCCCAACCCAGAACTCCGGTACCACATCAGACTTAGTCCAATGCTCTGTGCCTGGGTGTAGTTGGCTCTGATATAACCGTAAAACAGAGCACACTTTATCCTCACTGGCTCTCTGTGTAACACCCGGTACTTCAGATAGTCCACGGACCAATCAGTGCAGCCGTCCACTGCAGAAAGACAGGAGGACAGAGATATTAGTCTCCACACCTTTAGAAATGTTCTTTATTAATTGACCATTTGGCCAAACCGCAAAACATTAAACATTTAAAATAAGCAAATAATGACAGAATTGATTTTTCAGCTGCAATATCTCTTTTAGTTACATTATTTTTCATTGAGGCAAATTATTTAATCCATAAACACACATTAGAACCTGTAGGTAAAAAAAACTCATTAATTTTTGCAGATAAAGCTTCAGATACAAACACAAAGACAAATTTTGAGCTATTTAAATGCAGATGTTTTTTGTCAGAAAATCTCATAATTATTGAGATGTTAAGTCAATATGAGTTCATTTTAAAGCTTGGTTGCTATAGAGAAGTTAACCCGTGCAACTAATTATACACTAACTAATTATGTTTTATTGTTGTAATTAACTGCTTTGTTTTATAATGTTTGCATATGCAAGTACGTGTGTGTGTGTGTTGGGGGATTGCTGTGCGCATGTGTGTGTGTACACGGGAGATGGAATGAGCTTGTAATAAAAGCAGTTAATTGCTTTTTGAAACTCTGGAGATGAAGAATATAGAGCTATTAAAATCTGATAGGACAGTCAAATAATCTACTGTAGCCTTTACATCCAATTTATATAAAAAAAACAAAAACCTAAATAGGCCCCATATTTTACATAATGTGATTTTGCCCCCAACAAAATCAACATTATATTTATGTTTATTACATCATTTGAGATACTGAGGTACTGGTGGCCTTGAACAGTGATGATTGATGTACCTCTATCTGATTTTCTTTCTAAGTACAGAGCCAAAAATAAAAAGACCAAACTGAGACAAATACTATAGCAATTTAAAAGCAATGCACTTTTTATATATATTGAGTGCACCAGTATTAAATTTCAAGCAGTATATTGATTTTGAGATTAATTCATAAATCAACAGTAAAACATACAGGGGAATCACTCAACTGTAATGGAACCGTACCTTGCCTTACAGAGCCCTTTCTACCAGACCAGATACTTTAAAATAACTTTTATTGTTGTAACGGTCACGGTGTCACACACACGAGGGACGAGGAGACGCTGGAGAATGCTTTTAACAGGACTTTATTGGAACCAAGGGAGACGAACACAGGAAGACCTTCACCGGAAGACGTACAACAGCGGACAGAGAAGTAGGGACTGGGAACACTTTAAATACACACAGGAGGAGGGGATCACGAGACACACCTGGGAGCAATGACACATCATGGGGAACACCTGGGACAAATGAACTAAACTAATCAGGGGAGGAACAGGAAACTAATCAAATAAGGGCATGGGAAGGCACATGGGGAGCAGGACACACACAACACATGGAACAGAGTCTGACAGTAACTCAACTAGTCAGATTTAATCAGAAATGTTAATTGAATTAGAATACACAGTATTACAAACATGTTACTTATGAATTTATTGCAAATATACATAGAGTTTGTAAGTTCATGCACATGAATCGAGAAAACATTTTTTATAAATTTATGTGCTTCCACTGAACATATGGTTGAGTATTTATGCTTCATTTTTTTATACGAGCATGCATCGCCTTTGCACGTATGCATGAAGATCGCATTAGGTCAAAGGGATTGAGTTTGCACTAATGGATATACATTAAGTACATTGAGCTTACACTTAGCTTCAAAATAATATACAATAAAAATAGAAAAAGCTAGCCTAATCAGTTATTTAATGTTGTTTAATACTATTGTTTTTCTCTCAGTTCATCTTTCCAGGGTGAACAGTTATGGTGCAACAATCTAGATCCTGTTAGAACAAAAACACTGGCTGTAACAATTAGTGTTAATTTCACACTTGACAATTAGTTGTTTTTGACAAATTGGCTTTGCCAAAAAAAGTCTACATTCAGAGTGATCTGTCTGCTTTAAAGACACATCATATTGTTCTCAGTCATTTTAGATATAAAAACTTGTGTGTATCCACCATAAAAAGCAGTTTTTTGTTTCATGCACTCTTCAGGCCAATGCTGTCGAAAAACGCAGAGTAATAATAATAATAATGTTGTAATTCTGTGTTTAATGGTACCTTTCTGAAAATGCTGATAATATTGCAGGTGAGTATCTGGAATACACTGAATGCTCTATGGCAGTGTTTCCCAACCTTTTTTTAGTCGCGGCACCCTTTGGAAATTTTAACAAACTTGTGGCACCCTACAACATTAATTCTGTCACAATATTTGAATTTCTAACTTCGATATGATAATTTGAAAAGTATAGATATTCGGTACAACAGGGAAGAACTGCAGAATATAATGTCATACAGATATTTTTAATATTATTTAAAAAATTTGTCCATCAATGGTGGCAATCAGTAGGCTAATTTCTAATGAAAAGACCTATGTATATGACAGATTTTAATGTAGGCTTTTATACATATGTAAACATGATTTAATTACCATTATAACTAGCTATCTCACAAATTTTTGCTCACTCAGTGTTTTTTAAA